CCGCGTCCCCGGTGCATCCCCGGTGCATCCCCGGTGCATCCCCCCTCCCCGGGGCGGCGCGGCCCTCCCGGGCTCACCCTGCCCCGCTTCTCTCGCACTTTGCAGATAATGTTATGGACATTGGCTTAGCGAACGAAAAGGCCGGTCAGGAACTGTCCTCCTATTCGGGGACTTTTCAACCCGCCCCGGGCAACAAGACTGTCACCTACCTGGGGAAATTCGCTTTTGACTCGCCCTCCAACTGGTGCCAGGACAACATCATCAGCCTGATGAGCGCGGGCATCCTGGGGGTGCCGCCGTCCTCGGGCGCGCTCACCAGCACGCAGAGCTCCGGGCAGCATAAGACTGTCACCTACCTGGGGAAATTCGCTTTTGACTCGCCCTCCAACTGGTGCCAGGACAACATCATCAGCCTGATGAGCGCGGGCATCCTGGGGGTGCCGCCGTCCTCGGGCGCGCTCACCAGCACGCAGAGCTCGGCGGGCAGCATGGGACCGCCGCAGGGCGAGGTGGACCAGATGTACCCCGCGCTGCCGCCCTACTCCTCCTGCAGTGACCTCTACCCGGAGCCCGTCTCCTTCCACGACCCCCAGAACAACCCCGGCCTCACCTACTCCCCCCAGGATTACCAGGCGGCCAAGCCCGCCTTGGACAGCAACCTCTTCCCCATGATCCCAGACTATAACCTCTACCACCACCCCAACGACATGGGCACCATCACGGAGCACAAACCCTTCCAGAGCTTGGACCCCATCCGCGTCAACCCACCCCCCATCACCCCGCTGGAGACCATCAAGGCCTTCAAGGACAAGCAGATCCACCCAGGTTTCGGGGGGCTGCCCCTAATTCTTAAACAGTTATTCAGCAGTGTCAAATGTGTAACAGAAATCTCAGAGTACCTACAGCTAATTTTATCAATGAAACACACACACCTGTAAAATATAGAATCAGATCTGTTTGATAGGTCATGATTTCCATAAAATCGCATCCCTTCTTACTGACTGTATAAGCATTCTTCCATTTAAAAATCAAATCCTGCATCACTTTTGCCTGTTAGTACTATCAGATTAGGCAGCCCAGCTTTCCACTTGCCTTCTTTGAGCACTAACACAGTATTCTCATTCGTTCAACATCCTACACTGTAGCCAGTATTCAATTTATATTATTAATTATCATCAGTAGGCCACAGAGGTACCTGCCACACTATTTTAGGGTTCTTGACTGGGAGTTATTGGGACCTGTAGATTTTTAAAGGTTGGCCTGTAGTTCATTTTATTCTTTCCAGTTACTAATGGACCAGAAAGTACTTTATATTAGTGTATTATCCCCATTCTTCCAAGTAAAGGAAAGAATATTTATTCAGCACTTCTGCATTTTCTACATCACTGCTAGCAATTTTACCATCTCCACCTATTATATTGCTCATATCAAGCCTAAGATTCATTTTGTATCTAATATACTATAAAAACTGATTCATATTATCCTTAACAACACCAGCTATGGATTTTTACCTGATATCTTTAGTTTTTTTCTTTATGAATCTTCCCATTTATAGCAGTAGTTACCTTACTTCATCTTACCTTAAAACCCTCTAGGGTTTTCCTTATTTCTAATTGCTGTCATTATTGGTCCCTGAAACAAGCATAGGCATTTAACAAAAGCTGTCATCCTTTTCACTGTAGTTGTATAGATATCCTACATAAAAACTTTTCTTGAAGAATTCTCCCTTTTTATTCCCATTCCCTCTGTCTCCTTTTTTGCCAGTCATAGTCATTCACACTCTTCTGATTGTGTATCAATTTATTATTTAGTCTTATATATACAACACACATATATATGCATATATATATATGTACACTGATTGGCACTTTACCTTGCTTGTTTGCACTGTAAGCAATCAGGTCATAAAAATTAGTCTCTAGGCAATCACTAAAATCCAGGTGAATTATGTACTTCCTGATTTATCTCATATTGAGTGCAATACCTTCTGCATATCAAAATATTTAATTATGTTCACAATAGTGGAACAAGGCAGAACCATTGCATATGAAGGGTACAGGTTGAAATGTGCACCTAGACTTGCAAGTCTAATACTTTTAGTCCGTAGATGTTTTCATTTAAGATGCATTTTTCTTGTTAATGCTTACAGAGGTTGTTTCATTAGTGATAGTCTATCTTTTTTTTTTTTTTTTTTTTTTTTTCCAGTAGAAGGGAAATTCTTTACAGAAATGCAGAAAAAAAACAGCCCAGTATTTTGCTGAATACTTTTTATAATGTGAGATATTTTTATTTTATTTTATTTGGTCACTTTAAAAACAACCAACCAACTACGGAGGAGAAAAATCAATTAGTCCTCTATTTTATTATTTTTTTTTTTTTCCTTTCTCCTTCTGGTATGTGCATGTCATTGCATGACTGCTCTGATTTTTTTCTTCTTTTGTTTTAATAAAACTGTGCTCAGACATTTAAGCTAAACTAAGCAAAAATAATAATGACTTAAAAAAAAAAAAAATCTTTGTTGCCAAAAGGTCGTGCTATCCAGGTTTGATGTCTGCATGTGAAAAAAAAAAAAAAAACACACATTAAAAACGTACAAAAAATAAAGAGAAGAGAAAGAATGCAGTCTAATTTATGTGAACCGAAAGGAACAAAAAAAAAAAACAAACCACAATCAGGTTTAACCACACAAACCTAAGGGAATGATATTTTTTGAAAGACTTTTGTATAAAGTTGAGTACTTAGAGAAAAAAAAAATCATACCAGATGTAATATATTTTGTGGATGTTTTTATTTCTTGGATTTATAGTACCTTATACTAAGGTTAAAAAAAAAATTATGCTTGATATTGTGAAAAGGTGATAATTTTCACACACATTTCATTTGCTCATTTGTCATGTTGTAATGCAAATATGATAGTTAATGCATACAGCATTTTTAAGGGAAAAAATCAGAAATATTGAACTGATGTATTGTTGTACCATTTGCACTGTGAGCAAATGCTAATGCAGTAAATATATTGTGTTTGCTGACAATCAAAAGCTGTAGTAAATATCTTTATTTTACCTTGCTTAAGAAAGGTCTATATTGGTTTGGAAAAAAAAAAAAAAGAAGTTTCTAATATGTAAGGGGGGGGTGTTAAAATGGCTTGAAATGTGTAGGACGGTGGGCGCTGTGCCGCTTCACGGGCGACTTTGAAACCTGTTTGTACATTTTTTTGGTAATGTTGTATTTTCTGAAATGATTCTTTTTTTTTTTTTTGTATGATTTTATTTTTATTTTATTTTTTTTTTTAAATAACCCAACCTTTTCTCAGCCCCCCCTCTCCTTCAGTTCTGTTCGCAGGACGGCGTGGTGAGACCGGCTGGCCAGGACGCTGGGTGACCCCGAAGGCGACCGGCTCCGTCCTCACGTCCCCCCCTTTGCCCAGCCACGCGGGGACGGGGTGCACCCCGCAGCCCCCCCCAAAACCACCACGTCCTTGGTTTGCCCTTGACCTTGCGTCTTATTTTTCCCCGCTCGTGCCGTCGCCTTGACCCCGTCACCATTTTGCCGGCGGCTTTCGCCGGGTTGCGTCTGTCGGATAACGGTGGGCGAAAGAGGATCGCGCCGCTTCAGCCGGTAATGCCTCCGCGCCTTTCGCCGGCCAAATCGTCCCAGGTACAGAGCGGAGAGGGGGTTTTTGCTG